GCTTAAAGATTATGTCTCGGCTACTTGATGAATATGATTAATCGTTCGGGTTGGGACATTACAAATTCAGCTAATGGCTAGGCTTACTGGGTTTGGGCTTATTTTTCCCAAAACATTTGGTTTGACTTATTATCGGACTAAAAAATGGGAAGCTGTCAGAAACGTCAACTTTCAGTATTTATATTTTCATTTCAGGAGCTTTTTTCATTAATTTCCGAACTGAATCAATGGCTCGTAGTGTTTACCAAAAAATAACCCAACCTCATGCATTCTTCAATACTTTTCAAATGATGAATTTTGTAACTCTCAGGAACGCAATGAGGCTTAATCATCTGCTCCTGATCCAACGGACATAATGATTTATCAAAAAATAGCAATAAAAAACAGTAAAGTAGTTAATCAAAATTATTAACAACAATAAATAGGTAAGATCAAATGCCAAAGCATTACTTGGAGCATATTTGGTGTAAACAATTGTAAATAGATGAAACTGCATCATTAAACAAGCTGAGCTTCGATCGTAAATTTCTTTTCACCGAATACAATAAATCCAATCCACATTTAAAGACTCAAATGTTGTCTAATCTTATAATTAAAATCTTATATAATGGTTCAAGCTAAATGAAGTTAATTTTAATAATGTATGATTGTAATAAAAAAGTTTAGCGAAAAATTAGCGAGCATAATGAATTGAGTTTAATTCAAAATAATTCTGCATTCATCAATTTTTCGAGCTTTAGTCTGTTTTTTCTTGTTATCAATAAAAGTGACAATAAAGTAATGTTTTTCAGTTAATTTTGGAAATAATGAAGCAGTTTTGTTATCAATTTCAAGAACTGTCCATTGTCCTGCAATCCAAAACTCTGTAGGCAATGGAATGACTAATAAAAGGAGATATTTCATGGTTCTGATGAATTTTTCCATTTCTGCCATTAATTTCGGATAATCCGTTTCCTCTAGAAAAGCTGGACAACTAATTTTCGGGCATCTTTGTGTAAACTCTCTGTAACTTATAACATCTACTTCGATACCTCTGTTTAGATCATTGCAGACAGATTTACAAAATGGTTTGTCTGGACTGTATCGGAAAAATTCAACATATTCCTTGACTTGTTCCATGGGCAGTTTGTGAGGGTAGAAATCAACTGAAAGAGGATCAACTCTGATAGATTTAATAATGTTTGATGTAACATTATCAATATCCTTCTCTATCAATGTCAACATGACGACGTCTGTCTTATCAAATGATGATTTCGATAAACCATAACAGCTTTCCAGTTCCATGCTCATTTTCTTGGTTAATTCGGTATTTTCACGATACAAACTTGCTTCACTTGGAAAAGTGCGAATCACCACATCCTCTTCCAAAAGTTTTGAGCCAATTCTACTTGGATATCTATAGTAAGTAGCATTGCTTATGAAGCATCGCGGGGGATCGACCGCTAGATGGGAACAATTTTTACATCTTTTATTGTTTAAATGTGAAATGGGAGCACAAGAGTAACATTTAGCTACCTGAGTGTGGTGATTATTACCATAAAGATATTGATAAGATGAAGATAAAGATTAAAATGGACAATGATGTGAAAATGTATCATATTTATCAAAATTTTCATCGTCATAATCACCACAATCAGTTGAATGTTACTCTTTTGTCCCATAAGGAGGATGTCAAAATGAATTGAGAAAATTGCCCAAACTCAGACCACTTTCATAATTTACTAAATTCTAACTTTCAGTCATGAAGTTTTTGCATTCCTCTATCCTCAAATCTCTTGAACGGTAACTTTGACCGAGAAATGATTTATACAGCTTAGAAAATTAAGTTTCGCCCATCAAGCTTCAATGATACGCATCTAAATCGATAAGATTAGTTTTAATCAAAATCTCCATTGATTTTACAATTGATTTACTAGTCTTATCAATCCAGATGCGTATCTTTAAATGTTGATGGGCGAAACTTAATTTTCTAAGCTGTATTATTGAAATCAGCAAACAAAAAATACATAATAAAAAATTATTGTAAAAGTGATCGGAAAATAGGAAACTTTTGACATCCTCATTTCACATTGATAACATTTACTTATTTTTCATTAGGTTCAAGGTATAAGATTATTTGGATGAAATATTTAAATATCAGATAGACTTACCATGAAATAGTCTAATGAAATTTCTAAATTTATTTTCATCAGAACCAGGTTTTATCTCCTTTATGAGCATCAACGAAGAAAATGGAAACAATAGAGAAAAACAAAACAAAATTTGAAAATCCATTGAATTTGGTTGAATTAGGAATTGAATATCATCTGAATGGACAACTAATGCTCACTAGCTGGCAACTAATGTATTTAAAATGAAAATTTAGCATTTTATTTCCGACACTTCCTTGTTTTTGCATCAAATTTTTCAATGGACTTGAATAACCGGTCAAGTTACTTGTAACTTATCACCAGATCCTCTCGATTATCAGATTATTTCCCAAAAACCATTTTGGCTAAAAAATGGAGACTTTTGTGTGTTGGCATTTTATCCCGAACTGGGCTCAATAAACACAAATTGTATTTTGTTTATTTGTTTTTTGTTTCAAACTCTGTAACTTCAAATCCTAACTGCCAATGGCTTCAAAATTTTGTTTTATTCAATTTATCGTTTTGTCTTTGATTCATTTAATATCGAGTCAATGTGAAAATAGAATGGATGAACCTGCTACAGCTTATGTCAATTATTATATGAATATCAAAACCAGTGTTGACTTACAATCTATGAATCGTGAAGACACCGTGAAAGACCAACCATGGGGACTATGGAGGAATGATAGTATCCTTCGTCATCGATACTGTGAATTGTGCAAAGTGCAATTCGATTCCAATGACAATATTTATCTCTATTTATTCAAGAATGAAACAAGCACTTTGCATGGACCAATAAGGATCGATTCGAAACACATTGATCTAGACATGAAATTCAATCTAACCAAAGAGGCCAGAGATAAGTACTCAGACAAGGAGTTTCAACTCAACCTTATAAGAGCTGCTCGTTGTCTTTTGATGAATGGGGCTTATAAACTCTCTGAGGAAGGCTCTTTAATACCGCAATTGGCTATAAATCTTGAGCTGGATCCTGAAACTGCTTCACTTTTCCCGACAATCGAAAAAGACGATTACTTTATAATTAATATTGTAAATTTTGTCGATAGAATCTCAATTTACCCTGAGAAAACTACAAATCCAGAAGCCTCAAGTGAATTAGATGACGGAACATTTGTTCTGTACCCAGGTCCAATCAACTGGGTTGTGGCCTCCCATTTAATTTCAAATTATACAATTTTATCAACAACACACAACGAAGTTTTAAAAAATTAAAATACGATTAGTTACATTAAAGATAGTTCTAATAGTTCAATATACCTACTAATTTTATGTAAAACAGATTAGCTCGATTTTCATCGAGATCGATCCGTATCGATCCTAAAAAACAGCGATCTTCTCAGGTCTAATCAACATTCAATTAGTTAAATAATTCTGATAGATCAGAACACCTTATGATAAAGAGCTCTCTCCGGTCTCATAAGACAATCTTTATGAAATGAATAAAATCTTCGAAGAAGCCAATCCGTTATTAAACACGACGTTATAAAAATCACGCGTAAAATTATACTGCTATAATACTATAATGCTATTATACATTTTCTGATTTCCAAAGGTCCTCAATTTCATCACCATCATTAATGGCAAATTTGTCTTTAAACAGCTTTAAGACATTTTCTAATCTTTTTTAATCGCCTGAAATTCAAAGTTCATTGTAAGTATTGAAAACCTATTATACATTATTGGGACTGCAATCATGTTTTTGCAACAGGCTGGAAATGATGACCTAATCTTATTTGTATGACAAAGTAGTCTGCAATCTTTAAATGTCTAAATCTTGCTAGTAGTGCTGATTGAAAAGGTGATTATTTCAATTTGGTGTATGAAAGTGATTTATTGAATACAAATCAAGTCGAATCAAGGTTAATAAAACAAATCAAAGATCAAGCAAGAAAGATGAAAGATTACATATTGAACAGAAACAAACCTTGAATTGAATATGGAGTTATGTTTATAAATGACAGTTTTAACTATTTTAACTAGTACAATTATTAAGTGTTACTAGTATTTAATAGCTTTGAAGCGTCAAGCTTTGGTCATATTTTGGAAGTAGGCTTTCAGCTGGACTGTTGTCTTATTGATAAAATATTTTTGCCTAGGAAGCTCAGGTAATGAAGAAGGTACTTCAGACAAGAAATTGCCATTGTCATCAAATCAATCATTTAAACTCTTTTATCCCTAAACACATCATAATAAAAATGATTATTAAGCATTAATAATACTTAACAGTAATCACTAATTCAGCTAAATTGCTGATCTTAAAAGATGATGGTGATAATAAGAAAATACTTTAAACGTTTTAACTGAGAATCAATCGAGAATATTTGAATCTTAGATATAACTCAAGATCAATTTGGTTAATTAAATGATCAAGATCAGCTTCACTTGATATCTAAAAGATTAAATGATGAAAGTGAGAGAATATTCTTGATATTTTTAATAGTTCCAGACTATTTCCAAGAAAAGCTGATTGAATAAATCATCTAACAAAAAATGAATATTCTTATGAATGGAATATACGGTAACATTGGAAGGTTTGTTTACTCACAGTACTTCGAACAATCTCGTAGAAACTATTCAGAAAAATGATTAGATTCACATGAATAAATTTTTACATGACAGCTTTACCAAGGTTGTCCAAGTGAAGGGATTATTATGAATAGAATATACGCAAATATCTAAGCTCATATTCTTGTCATTACTAAAAGTAGCTAACCGATACCAAAAATGAGGTAAAACTTAGATTAATACCAAACTCGATATCTCGAGTTTGATCATGAGTTTTTACATGCAAGTAATGAAGAGTTAATTATCCTCTTCTCACTGGTGCAAAGTAGTGATTATACTCTTATGGTCAAGCAGTTAACCGAATTCTCGACTCAGGCAAATTAAAGCGAGAAGATATTTGGATAACATCTAAATGTTGGAATGATAGCCATGAAAGATCTCAAGTGATGTCAGCCTGCAAAAGAAGTCTAGAAAATTTAGGTCTTGAATATCTTGACCTTTACTTGGTTCATTGGCCTATGGGCTATAGTAATGATCCTGAATCTGGCCTTAAAATCTCTGATGTTGACTACTTAGAAACCTGGAAAGGTATGGAAGACGTATTCAGGGCTGGTTTAGCCAAATCAATTGGTGTCTCCAACTTCAACATAGATCAGCTTGAACGCTTACACGCAAACTGTAACATTAAACCAGCTGTTAACCAATTTGAGGTCCATCCATATTTAAGCAACTGTGAGTTGGTTGATTACTGTAAATCCCAGAGTGTCCATGTTACCGCTTATACACCTATTGGTAAAGGAGGATCTTCAAATTTATCAAAGGACCCCGTTCTGGTACAATTGTCATATAAATACAATAAAACGTGGGCTCAAATTGCATTGAGGTACAACATTCAGAGAGGAATTTCTGTGGTTCCAAAAACATCAAATAAAGACAGATTGGTCGAGAATATTTCCATTTTTGACTTTGAGCTGACCGGACCAGAAATGGATGCTATCAGAGATATAGATAGAGAGCAACGTATGGTTACTTTTGATGCTACCAAGAATCATCCTTTTTACCCCTTTGAGGAGCCAAAAGATTGATGATGCTGTTTTTTCATGATTTTTTCATCCTGTATGATATTGAAATTTTTTAAAATCGATCTGGAATAGTGAAGATTGTTGGTGATTATCGTTATAATTCATTATTAATGATATTAAAAAATCAATTGTGTTCATTGGAATAAAAGCTTTTAATTCTTATGTGAGTTTTAACATGATTAACATCCATTTGGTCATAGTTTAAATTTTTCACGAAATAGTTCCTCTTTTATATATTACACGTTAATTAGTGATAATTAGTATAGAATGTGCTTTCATCAACTGAAAGTTAACAAAAAAGGGTCACACTGTGACCGTCACAGTTAAGTTAATTTTAAGTATCGCCATCTCGAGAATTTACAGTTTCAAGAGACACTAAACAATAGAAATAATTGTCCAACAATTTTTCCAAGTGATTGAAGAATGAAACGATTACCAAACTCTTGGACCATCGAAACAAGAATACCTTGATTGAAGAAGTCGGTTGCTAGCCAAACCCGGAACTGAAATTATTAGAGATATGATTGATTAGCAGAGATTTTGTAATCATTGTAATTCACTAGTGCTCAGGGTTAAGTTAACAAAAAAGGGTCACACTGTGACCGTCACAGTTAAGTTAATTTTAAGTATCGCCATCTCGAGAATTTACAGTTTCAAGAGACACTAAACAATAGAAATCTATGGTAAAAATGGTCAAAATTCGGTATGATTTGGGTGGTGGATAATCTTATAAAAAATTGTTTGAAAATGTGGTGGATGAAAGCCACTCTAAAGTGGTGGATGAAAGTGGTGGATGAAAGTGGTGGACAATTTGGTGGATAATTTTTTTGAGAAAAGTCTCTTTAAAAAGTGATAAAGTTTGATTTGGTTGATTAGGTGGATGTGTTAGATTGGGTGGTGGACAATATGGTGGAAAATACGGTGAAAATATGGTAAAAAATGTGGTGGAATAAAGCCGGTCCCGTACAAAGGCCTAAGCCTTCAGTTAAAAAAATAGCATTATACATATCTGCATAAAATTTATATTTTTAAATTTATCTTTGTCGTTAAGACGAACATGTCTCTGGTTTTTTGATAGATAACCTGGTAACAGTCTAGTTACACGGACACAAGGCGTAACTAGCAAGACTTTTAAATCAGTAACCAATCAAGACAATCTGTTTGAATTTAATATCAATCAATAAAATGTAAAAATTGAGAATAACACAATAGAGATAGATATTAAAGCTAATTCTGAAGAAGTTTGCTGGTCAATTTGTTTGTCCACTGATTCAACAATTGAATATTAATTGAAATATCATTGTTATGTAAAAATTATTAAAACAACACATGAGGACCTTTACTGTGATTGGTTTAAATCGTGTGTTAAATTAACGCTCCTCCTTGTGTCCGTCTAACTAGACTGTTACCAAATTGTAAAAACAATGTAAATTTTCAAAAAATCATAGATGGCGACTGTGAAAATTGCTTTAAATGGGTCACTAAAAAATTGCTTTAACCGAGCAATCGACAGTAGATGCATTCCATTCACCATAATTTGAGAAATATGGATGATTGCTCTCATTGCTGTTCCCACATACAGCGTTGGACTTGATGAAAGGCTATTAGCTAATCGTTTTGCAGTTTCAATCTCTGTAGTTTACTTATAAATAAAACCAAAAGTGCCAATTGAGTCAAGATTTTATTTTACTCAATTTATCGTTTTATTTTTGAGTCATTCAATATCAAGTCAATGCTTTGATGAAAAACATTTTGAACCTGCTACATCTCATGTTAATTATTACATGAATATCTTACTTATCTTCGTAATATCATTACTTGATATTAAAGCTAATTCTGAAGCGGCTTGCTGGTCAATTTGTTTGTCCACTAATTCAACAATTGAATATTAATTGAAATATCATTGTTATGTAAAAATTATTAAAACAACACATGAGGCCCTTTACTGTGTTTGGTTTAAATCGTATGTTAAATTAACGCTCCTTCTTGTGTCCGTCTAACTAGACTGTTACCCTCTTATCTATAGCTCTTATTACAGTCTGAATAGCAAATTAATAACAATCTAAAACGATAACATTGAATTCTAATTCTATTAAATTAATTTTGAAAAATGTAAAAAAGGTAAGGTAATTAATTAACGCAAATAATTTTTTTAATGCATAGAATAGTATATGTTTAATTAGGCACATAATTAAATCAAAAAATGTTCCATTTCTTTAAATCAAAAATTTAAACCCCTTTTACAAAAAAGATATTTAAAAATATTATAATGTTTACTCATTTGTTAAAGTTGCGACTTCAACAATCCTGTCAAAAATTGCTTCTTCTTGTATGATATAGCTGTGGTTAAGATTTTTGATGACAGTAAAATTCATATATGTTTTTTTCTCACATAGGGAAAGCGAATCGTAACCCACAGTCCCATCTCCTTTTTTATTAGAGGTAGTGATTAATGTTGCGTTAGAAAGTTTTTCGGTAGGGTACCTTAATGATGTCAGGGTTTCAACTTCATCTCCACATATACAGTCTATGGAGACGGTGCCATTAAGCTTATCGAACTCGTTAATTAAAGTTGCAATTTTATTTCGGGATTTTAATAATTTCTTATCTAGTTTGGCCTTTTCGAAAATTTTGTCCATTTCATAAATATTATAGGGGACTGCATTGATCCAGACTATCGGATCTTTCTTTGGAACATCTTCCGATGGTAGAAGATGAACAAACGATGTGAATGTTCGTTGTACTAAGTTATAAACTGTATATGAATGGTGCCACTTTCCTAAATTGTCCCCTGATAAAATGGCTCTCAATGCAGATATGGAACCACCCCATGGGGCAGCAAGAGTTATAATTTTATGGATTTTATCAGTAAGTTGTTCTTTTGGGTATCTTTTTATAAATTCAGCAAGATTAATGCAGCCGTATGAGTGACATACGACTACTGCTTTTTCACCAGTCTGGCTTACTGCGCTCTCCAAAACGCCATAAAAATTTGCATAATAATCAGATTTAACGTCAGCTGAAAAGAAAAGAAAGATTATTACTGTTAAAAATGATAATTACATATATTGTGTATTATTTACGATCAACGATTCTCGACCATTCAGTTGGTTTAACTTATTATCGAACCAAAAAATGGGAAGCTGTAAGAAACTTGCTCCGCGAATACACCAAAACAATGGGAAATGCACAAGGTAAATATGATTCTCATCGATAGATAATCCATTTATTATGTCATGTTTTCACAATTTACTTTTCATTCCAGGAGCTTTTTGCATCACTTTTCGAACTGAATCAATGGCTCGTAGTGTATACTAACAAATTAACACAACCTCGTGCATTCTTCAATACTTTCCAAATAATTCATTTTGTAATTCTCAGGAACACAATGAGGCTGAATCATGGCAAGCATCATTTGCTCCTGATCCAACGGACATAAACTGGGATGCCTTGGTCATCAATAAAAAAGGAATGTGGTTCCGAACATTTGAAGTTAACTTTTTACTTTTCATCATCTTCTTCTTTTGCACCACACCATCATTCATTTTACCATACATTTCCAATTTTCCTGCCAATTCTGCCTTCTTTGAGCTCCAGAAAAAGTATGAACATGAATTGAAACCCATTTCATTTCTAGCTCAATTCTTGAAACCTTTGGTTCTTCTACTCGTGGCCTCTATATTGCCTGACGTTGTCTATTATTTTTCATCTCTTGTTCCTGATCCACTGAAATCTGAACAGAAACATGGAGTCATGTGGAGAGTTTGACGAATGTTTTATGATTCTTATGATTATAATAATCCCTTCACTTGAACAATCTAGGTAAAACTGTCATTTAAAAATTAAGTAAGAATAAGGTTTTACGGACTAAGGAGGGGAAACATGGGACATTTAAATAAAGATCCAATCAGGTTAATCTTTTAAATTCAAGTCTAATGGTTATAATGGTAATTGAACTAATTGTTAGTTACTAATCTTGTCTCAAATCCATGGATACTGAAAGAGGAGAAGAGAAAATTCTGACTAATCATTAATTTCATATAAAAACAATGAAACTTGTAGGTTCACCTGTTTGTGTATTAATTACCATTGGTAAGCGAAAGTGTGTGATTTTTAAGTTCCATCTTAGTCCGTAAAACCTTACTCTTACAAATTTTTTTAACCAATATTAAATTGTTGAATCAGTGGATAAACAAATTGATCAGCAAACCGCTTCAGAACTAGCTTTAATATCTTTGAATTATTCTCAATGTTTATTTTTTATAATATTAGTTGATAATATATTTGGTAACAGTCCAGTTATACGCACACAAGGTGTAATAAAGCTACAATAACCTGTTGAGACAGGAGGCGATTACAGTAGGTGTTAGGGCTAAGTTAACAAAAACGGTTCAGATTTAAGTTAATTTTCAAGTGTTGCCATCTCGAGCGTATTTAGTTTCTAGAGACAAGAAAAAAACAATGTAATAGAAAACTGACAAAAAGTTCGATTCTAATGGTACTTAAATTTATTGTTAAGCAACTATGAAAAAATCTCCAATTTTGTTAACTTAACGTCAACCTAATGGTTAGCGTTGGTGATAAGACGTCTACAATATCTTCATATGTTGTACTCTGCATCTTGGGGTTAGCGTTTGAATCTCGCTTAATTCCTGAAGCTAAGGCAACATACAGTAGTGCTTACGCAGGCTTGCTCCACCTAGACTATCCCATCCTACAATCATTCTCGTTTGTTTAGAACCAACTTTCATATGAACACAACCAACATTCAAAAGAGTAAAACCGGCTGACTGTAAAGTCACAGAGTTTTCATAACAACAAAACCGCGTTCAAATGACCAAAACTCATTTTCATAAGACAAAAACTCTCGAGTTAAAGAAGCATCTTTATTCAGGGTGTAGACTGTTTTGTCAATTGTTAATTGCTTCTTTTCTGAGGCATCTTGGAATATAAGTTAACATTTTGATAAATTTTGACTTATTAATTGTGATTTACCATCTTCAATGGAAGTTCATTGGAAAAATCAGTGATAATCGTCTTTGCATACCCTGAATAAAGTAACTCTTTAACTCGAGAGTTTTTGTCTTATAAAAGTAGGTTTTGGTCATTTGAAAGCTGGTTTTGTTGTTTTGAAAGCTCTGTGTCTTTACAGTCAGTCGGTTTTACTCTTTTGAATGTTGTAATAAATTCCCAGCTAAGCTGGATAAAGCCTAGCGCCTATGGGGCGCTAAAAAACCTAGATAGCAAGAAGAAGACGGTGCCTTAGAAGCTGTCGAAGCTGGCCGGTCCATGCATGTAAAAACTTAACCCTAACCCTAACTGTACTTTCCTAAGTCCTAAATTAGTTTCTCTTTAATTTTTGCTTGTTTTTTATAGTCAGTAATTTTAATTAACTCGAATGTTGAATGACACGGTAATATGCAATCTTCAAATGTGTAAATCTTGCTCATTGAAAAAATGATTCTTTAAATTTGGTGGTTGAACAATATTTGGTAAAGGGTCAAAACAGCGAAAGCAAAATAGCGAAGGGTAAACATAAGAAGCTAAATAATTAAACTGATTAAAGTTTTTCTGAAAATTAAACACGATGCTTTGATTGTCATAAACTGAATTGACTCAACTATTTCATTTAGTTCATTTTTTGATTCAAATCTTTACCAATCGAATTGTTTCCTCAATCATGGCTAATTACGAACTGATTAAAAAAAGAAAAATGAAAATTTTTGCTTTTCTATAGCAATATGCGCATCGATATTTTTCGCGGGTTTGACTTTCTCTATTTTGTTTTTCTCGGTTTTGAGCCCAAACCTAAATCGAGCAAAATTTTCAAACTTGTGTATAGTACGAAAAAAGTTTAAAAAGTAAAAAAATGGTGATGGTTAATCTCACAGTTAATTGAAGTGTTATATAATTTAAATCAAATTAAACACTTACTCACTGACTTCCGCCAGTCTTGAGGGATCCCAAATAGTGTTTTGCCTTTCACAAAGCCCTTTGTTTTGAGATGATTGACCATTTTTCTAAATACATTTGCCCTTGGAAATTGGTCTGGCAAATCGCTCATCAAATTTTCCATGGAATTAGTCCACCCAAACTGATCTAATTCTATTTTTCCATCCCCGTCGTCTATAGTATCAGTCCCATTGTCATAAATTAGTTTAATTGTAGATATCCAACAATCATTCCAACGGCTTGTAGGAGAATAGGCGTACCAAACTCTTGGACCATAGAAACAAGAAGACCTTGATTGTAGAAGTCGGTTGCTAGCCAAACCCGGAACTATTAGAAAGATTATTAGAAATGTGATTGATAATCATTGTGCTAATCAATTTCAATAAAACAGGTATTCACTCACCTATTAAAACAGGTCGCAAAAGTGCTGCCTTTCGTTCTGAAACTGAAAAAAGAGTAAAATTTTATACATATTAACTACATAATTACATATTAATAAGAATATTATTGTTAGATTTAAACTCACCGAAAGGTTTTTGTCCAAAGTTATTAGCATAATCTGTGATAAAAAAAATTGCCAGTAAACTAAGAAAAATTTTCATTTTTACAAAACTTGTGCACGAAGAAAAGTGTAAATGATTCCTTACATCGATTGAAACTGAATTTGTGCTTTCAATTTACCATATTCAATCTTATCTTGTTAATTGAACAGCTCACAATGTTATTTACTGTCATCTACCAGATGATGTCAGTAGATTATTCAATAGCCACGCAAAACCCTTTTGTTTACATGTCCTATGAGAAAAATTTTTATTGAATTTCAGTAAATGCACACTTATTAATATTTTGACAAAAAAAATCAGCGCCGTCTATTATAATGTCAATAGTAAGACGAAAGTAGTTTAGTTTATCCTACTTTTAATAAACAGTGTTTATGCTACCGCTGAGACTATGATACCAATAGATGGCTAAGATTTTTCTGCTCAAAATAAGTGTGAATTTACTTTAGAAGATAAACTCAGTTGCGAAATTTATTATATTATCAAGAAAATTGAATATTTCTGGAAAATTTTACTCAATTAACGACCCTAGTCATGATACATGTAATAACTATTATTGTCGAGTATCCGGTTAAAACAACTTTCGCTCCTCAGTCTTTATCTAAAGGGTGTTCAATGTAATTACTTCCAAACTGGCGGAGCTTAAATTTTGATAATCACAATCAAAAACATGATAAGACAAGATAACCAGAGTAAAATCACATTTTTCCTTTCATCCTTTACCTTTGCAATTACATTGAACACCCTTTATGTAATTATGTAGTTGATATGTATACAATTTTACTCTTTTTTCAGTTTCAGAACGTAAGGCAGCACTTTTGCGACCAACAACCTCGTGCATTCTTCAATACTTTCCAAATAATTCATTTTGTAACTCTCAGGAACGCAATGAGGCTGAATCATGCTCCTGATCCAACGGACATAAACTGATTATTAATAAAAAAGGAATGTAGTTCCGAACATTTGAAGTTAACTTTTTACTTTTCATCATCTTCTTCTTCTGTACCACACCATCATTCATTTTACCATACATTTCCAATTTTCCTGCCTATTCTGCCTTTTTTGAGCTCCAGAAAAAGTATGAACATGAATTGAAAGCCATTTCATTTCTAGCTTAATTCTTGAAACCTTTGGTTCTTCTACTCGTGGCCTCTATATTGCCTAGCGTTGTCTATTATTTTTCATCTCTTGTTCCTGATCCACTGAAATCTGATCAATCATATCATAATTTTATCATATTTCTGAATAGTTTCCACGAAGTTGTTCGTGAGTAAACAAACCTTCCAATGGTATTGTATATTCCATTCATATGAATATTTCTTTTTTGTTATTTACGTTATTCAATCAGCTTTTATTGGAAATGGACTGGAATTATTGAAAAGTCCATTGTCAACAAAAACTTAGTGCTTAATATCTTAAACTCAATGATCTAAATTAATTATTTGAGACAGGGCCGTGCAAGTTCCGAGTCGGATAAAAAACAAACTCATCTAGGATGATTTTTCTCAATCTCAGATGAAGCCGTTCTCGAGAGACGTGGCGTTGACGCTTTGAAGAGGGTTTTGAGGGGCTATTGAATAATCTACTGACATCATCTGGTAGATGACAGTAAATAACATTGTGAGCTACCTCTTGTTAAAACTGAGTCAGACATCACATGAACCGTCGCTTCACAGTGTTGAAGCAACATTAGCAAATGAAATCAAAACCACGAATGAATCAAAATCTGTAGCATTCAATGAAGTTGAAATTGTAGATTGTTTACATGCAAGTATCGCTTCATCAATCACCCTTTTTTCATCAAAAAGTCACTTAATTATCTTCATTTGGGACAGGGTCGTGCAAGTTCCGAGCCGGATAAAAAACAAACTCATCTAGGAGGATTTTTTTCAATCTCAGATGAAGCCATTCTCGAGAGACGCTTTAAACTAAATAGTCATTTACTTCTTGCGCACCCTTTATCTCTTATTTTTGCGCCATCTCATCTTTTTATGTTAGATTAGAATTATGTTAGAGGTAAAAGGGTATTTTCTCGATTAACCATTAAAAACTCATGGATTCATATCGCTATGGCTAATCTATTTTTACCCATTGCTTTATTTTTTTACTCCACAATCACGCATCAACCAGAATGAATAAGGATCGATTTGCTACGAGAACCTTATTTATTCGCAAAACTGTCAACAAAAAAGGTGCTTTAGCCAGATAGTATATTGCTGCTTTAATCAAAGAAATAACTACAAATGAACTAGTTATCGAAGGAATTCAGTTTGTCTATGACGTTCGTGGTATGAAAGAGTTCAAAGATGATTTTGTGCTTGATTTCAACGCTGAAAAATTCTGTCTCGACTACTTGGATGAATATGATGAATCTTTCGAGTTGAGACCTTACAGATTCGGCCAATGGCTAGGCTTACTGGGTTTAGGGTTAATATTCTTACAATAATACAATTACAATATTCTTGTAATAAATTTGGTTTGACTTATTATCGGACTAAAAAATGGATAGCTCTTAGAAACTTACGAATCGATAGATAATTCATTTATGTCATGTTTTCAGCTTATTTTTTCATTTCAGGAGCTTTCATCACTTTTCGTACTGAATCGATGGCTCGTAGTGCTTACCAATAGATTAACACCACTTCATGCAGTCTCCAATACTTTCCAAATTGTAAATTGTAAATTTCACAATTGTAAATAGATGAAACTGCATCATTAGAATTGTTGAGAAAAACATGAAATTAATCATGCGATAAGTTTTATTTGAAACTTGCTTGGATATGCCGAATGATAAGGAATATGGCGATCAACGGAATAAGGGGAAACAAGAAAAATAATGAAAAAATAAATTTGATAAAAGTAATTGAATCAAGTTAAATTGTCGCAGATTTTTATTATGGGACATAGTACACTGCATAAAGTATACATATGTAATATATGATTTTTCAATCTTTTCTTTACTGAAAAATTTAGGATCTTTTAATCGCCTGAAATTCAAAGTTCATTGTAAGTATTGAAAACCTATTATACATTATTGGGACTGCAATCATGTTTTTGCAACAGGGTGGAAATGATGACCTAATCTTATTTGTATGACAAAGTAGTCTGCAATCTTTAAATGTCTAAATCTTGCTAGTAGTGCTGATTGAAAAGGTGATTATTTCAATTTGGTGTATGAAAGTGATTTATTGAATACAAATCAAGTCGAATCAAGGTTAATAAAACAAATCAAAGATCGAGCAAGAAAGATGAAAGATTACATATTGAACAAAAACAAACCTTGAATTGAATATGGAGTTATGTTTATAAATGAAAGTTTTAACTATTTTAACTAGTACAATTATTAAGTGTTACTAGTATTTAATAGCTTTGAAGCGTCAAGCTTTGGTCATATTTTGGAAGTAGGCTTTCAGCTGGACTGTTGTCTTATTGATAAAATATTTTTGCCTAGGAAGCTCAGGTAATGAAGAAGGTACTTCAGACAAGAAATTGCCATTGTCATCAAATCAATCATTTAAACTCTTTTATCCCTAAACACATCATAATAAAAATGATTATTAAGCATTAATAATACTTAACAGTAATCACTAATTCAGCTAAATTGCTGATCTTAAAAGATGATGGTGATAATAAGAAAATACTGCGTTGGCCTGTTAGGTTTCAGTGAATTGTTCAATTAACAAGATAAGATTGAATATGGTAAATTGAAAGCACAAATTCAGTTTCAATCGATGTAAGGAATCATTTACACTTTTCTTCGTGCACAAGTTTTGTAAAAATGAAAATTTTTCTTAGTTTACTGGCAATTTTTTTTATCACAGATTATGCTAATAACTTTGGACAAAAACCTTTCGGTGAGTTTAAATCTAACAATAATATTCTTATTAATATGTAATTATGTAGTTAATATGTATAAAATTTTACTCTTTTTTCAGTTTCAGAACGAAAGGCAGCACTTTTGCGACCTGTTTTAATAGGTGAGTGAATACCTGTTTTATTGAAATTGATTAGCACAATGATTATCAATCACATTTCTAATAATCTTTCTAATAGTTCCGGGTTTGGCTAGCAACCGACTTCTACAATCAAGGTCTTCTTGTTTCTATGGTCCAAGAGTTTGGTACGCCTATTCTCCTACAAGCCGTTGGAATGATTGTTGGATATCTACAATTAAACTAATTTATGACAATGGGACTGATACTATAGACGACGGGGATGGAAAAATAGAATTAGATCAGTTTGGGTGGACTAATTCCATGGAAAATTTGATGAGCGATTTGCCAGACCAATTTCCAAGGGCAAATGTATTTAGAAAAATGGTCAATCATCTCAAAACAAAGGGCTTTGTGAAAGGCAAAACACTATTTGGGATCCCTCAAGACTGGCGGAAGTCAGTGAGTAAGTGTTTAATTTGATTTAAATTATATAACACTTCAATTAACTGTGAGATTAACCATCACCATTTTTTTACTTTTTAAACTTTTTTCGTACTATACACAAGTTTGAAAATTTTGCTCGATTTAGGTTTGGGCTCAAAACCGAGAAAAACAAAATAGAGAAAGTCAAACCCGCGAAAAATATCGATGCGCATATTGCTATAGAAAAGCAAAAATTTTCATTTTTCTTTTTTTAATCAGTTCGTAATTAGCCATGATTGAGGAAACAATTCGATTGGTAAAGATTTGAATCAAAAAATGAACTAAATGAAATAGTTGAGTCAATTCAGTTTATGACAATCAAAGCATCGTGTTTAATTTTCAGAAAAACTTTAATCAGTTTAATTATTTAGCTTCTTATGTTTACCCTTCGCTATTTTGCTTTCGCTGTTTTGACCCTTTACCAAATATTGTTCAACCACCAAATTTAAAGAATCATTTTTTCAATGAGCAAGATTTACACATTTGAAGATTGCATATTACCGTGTCATTCAACATTCGAGTTAATTAAAATTACTGACTATAAAAAACAAGCAAAAATTAAAGAGAAACTAATTTAGGACTTAGGAAAGTACAGTTAGGGTTAGGGTTAAGTTTTTACATGCATGGACCGGCCAGCTTCGACAGCTTCTAAGGCACCGTCTTCTTCTTGCTATCTAGGTTTTTTAGCGCCCCATAGGCGCTAGGCTTTATCCAGCTTAGCTGGGAATTTATTACAACATTCAAAAGAGTAAAACCGACTGACTGTAAAGACACAGAGCTTTCAAAACAACAAAACCAGCTTTCAAATGACCAAAACCTACTTTTATAAGACAAAAACTCTCGAGTTAAAGAGTTACTTTATTCAGGGTATGCAAAGACGATTATCACTGATTTTTCCAATGAACTTCCATTGAAGATGGTAAATCACAATTAATAAGTCAAAATTTATCAAAATGTTAACTTATATTCCAAGATGCCTCAGAAAAGAAGCAATTAACAATTGACAAAACAGTCTACACCCTGAATAAAGATGCTTCTTTAACTCGAGAGTTTTTGTCTTATGAAAATGAGTTTTGGTCATTTGAACGCGGTTTTGTTGTTATGAAAACTCTGTGACTTTACAGTCAGCCGGTTTTACTCTTTTGAATGTTGGTTGTGTTCATATGAAAGTTGGTTCTAAACAAACGAGAATGATTGTAGGATGGGATAGTCTAGGTGGAGCAAGCCTGCGTAAGCACTACTGTATGTTGCCTTAGCTTCAGGAATTAAGCGAGATTCAAACGCTAACCCCAAGATGCAGAGTACAACATATGAAGATATTGTAGACGTCTTATCACCAACGCTAACCATTAGGTTGACGTTAAGTTAACAAAATTGGAGATTTTTTCATAGTTGCTTAACAATAAATTTAAGTACCATTAGAATCGAACTTTTTGTCAGTTTCTATTACATTGGCTTTCATGTGTCTCTAATAACTAAAACGCACGATAGCATGACGCAGTAAGAACAATCGATGATTGATCCTTTTTTCAAGAGAAACAAATGCTTTTTTGTCGTGTTAC